TTTTTTTCCACAAGGAGAGGAAGCTGGGGGTTTTGTTTGTCACAATGCCCTCAGATACCAGCACAGGGCCTGGCACAGGGCAGTGCCCAATCAATCACAGCCAGGGCTAAAGAAGAGAAATTCAGGCCAGGAGTGGTGGCTCACGCCTGTAATCCTAGAACTGTGGGAGGCTGAGGCGGGCAGATCACCTGAGGTCAGGAATTTGAGACCAGCCTGGCCAGCATGGTGAAAACTTGTCTCTACTAAAAATACAAAAATTAGCCAGGTGTGGTGGTGCATCACCTATAATCCCAGCTACTCAGGAGGCTGAGGCAGGAGAATAGCTTGAACCTGGGAGGCAGAGGTTGCAGTTTGCCGAGAATGAACCACTGCACTCCAGCCTGGGGGAGAAAACAAGACTCCATCTCAAAAACAAAAACAAAACAAAAAATAAAAATAAAATAAATACATATTTATAAAATGTGGCCATCACAATAGATCATGCCTCCCAACACTTTGGGAGGCTGAGGCAGAGGCAGGAGGATGGCTTGAGGCCAGGAGTTCAAGACCAGCCTGGGCTACATAGTGAGACCCTGCAAAAATAAAAATAGTGGCCAAGCATGGTGGCTTGCACCTGCAGTCCCAGCTACTTGGGAGGCTGAGGCAGGAGAATGACTTGAGCCTAGGAGTTGGAGGCTGCAGTGAGCTATGATCACAACACTGCACTCCAGCATAGGCAACAGAGTGAGACCCTGTCTCTAAAAAAACAATTAAAAACTTAAAAGCCATATTAAATAAAGTATATATTAAGTAAATAAATATAAGTATATATGTATGCATATTCATGTGTATGCATATGTCTATCTCTGTTACACATATTTATATGTATATATAGACACATGCATATACATGTCTATATACATATGCATGTCTATTGCAAATATGCATATGTGTACATATAGAGACAAATATTACATATTAATGTTTGCTTTTCTGGCTGGGCGCAGTGGCTCACACCTGTAATCCAAACACTTTAGGAGGTCGAGGCAGGCGGATCACTTGAGGTCAGGAGTTCGAGACCAGCCTGGCCAACATGGCAAAATCCCATCTCTACTAAAAATACAAAAATTAGCCGGGCATGGTGGTAGACCCCTGTAATCCCAGCTACTCAGGATGCTGAGGCAGGAGAATCGCTTGAACCCAGGAGGCGGAGGTTGCAGTCAGCCGAGATGGTGCCACTGCACTCCAGCCTGGGTGACAGAGTGAGATTCTGTCTCAGAATTCTAAAAA